AATATATTTCATACATATATAATTCTTTTTTTATAATGGATACCTAAATTATGTGCACCGACTCATCAACCTGGTCGGAAGCCAACTTGTACACATATACAACACTTTACACTTTCCATGCATCACACGGGTTGATAAGACAAAGCTAGGTGGAAGATTACACGGATTTGGGAGACAGACTTGGGGCGAGGACTGTCGGGAGTGTTGATCCTCATCATTGTCATCTTCGATGTATTTTTCGCCGGCGGGGTGAGTTGGTTCCTAAGGCGCTGCTACTTCCGCCATCAGCAAGCTCAGGAAACTAATCCACAGGTGAGCGACATTGTTGTCACAAGCGCAGAGGTGTGTCTAGAGCTTCCTGTGTGAGAGGAGCTGCGATTTAGCAGAGCAACAGGGTTCCAGAGCGAACTCTGACTGCACTATCTGCTTGGAGGAGTTCATAGAGACAAGGGTCGTGACTGTCTTTCCCGGCTGCCACCACATCTTCCACCAAGCTTGCATTGCTGGGTGGGCGATGCAGGGTAACCGGTCAGCGGTCACAGCCACCTCCATGTCCTCTCTGCCGTCGAAACTTTTAGGTTTTCTCTCTTAATGTGTATAAATCGATTTATTCTTATTCAGTTTATTAGTGTAAAGAAAGAACCATGTAAGGAGAAAAGAAACTAAAGCTTTGGATAGTTTTGGATACTAAAATTAATAACCTATTTGGATAATTAGTCTGCGCAATAGTTTTGGATTGGTAATCTATGAGTTTGTGATGCAATATTAATGAAGGATAAAAGTATTCAATAAATTTTATTTTGTAAGAAAAAAATCCAAAATATTCTAGATTCGACTCTGTTGAATAAATTAAAGAAATAATTTGACCACGGTTACAGAAAATAGGTAAAAGAACAGAATTAATGACTAAATGAAGGATGTTAGCTCCAAAAATGTTAAGAACCCTACTAGACAAAAAATCTGGAGAAGACTTGGGATACAAGAAACTAATTATCTTGGAAAGTATCTAGGGGTCCCGGTTTTGCATGGTAGGTTAACAAGGAATACCTACAAGTATATTTTGGACATGATGGACATGACTTTGACGGCCTGGAAAGCCAGGACTATCTTCATGGCAGGCAGAGTCACCCTGGCAAGTGTTGTCCTGAATGCCATTCCAACTTATGCAATGCAAACAACCTTCATCCCCGTGTTTGTGTGTGATATGATCGATAGAAAGGTTAGGGGGTTTGTTTGGGGATCCCATAAGGGGAAAAGAAAGGATCACCTTGTGGGATGGGACACGATTCGTAAACCCAAAGCACAAGGAGGGCTTGGCCTTAAATCTGCATGGTGCCTTGACATGTATTTCATGATCAAGTTGGCTTGGCAAGTTTTTAATATAGAAAATGAGCTCTAGGTGAAGGTTTTGCAGGGTAAGTATTTCAAACACAAGGATAGGGATATTGTCTCAATGAAGAAATTAAACCACTCTAGCCTCTAGAAGGTTAGTGTGAAAAGCAACACCCCTAATAAAAGAAGCCTCTTGTTGGAGTATAAATAATGAAAGGGACATGATTCGGGCACATTTATACTATTTGATTTGGAATATCTTTCATGTTTTAACCTTTCCAAACCAGACCTAACAAATTTGAACCAGGTAATGTTACTGTCGGTACCGATACAGAAACAGCACCGTAGAATTTCCCTTGTATTATATGTAAATGTTATTAAATTTAGCGATAACAATACTAAAAATAACAACGTTTAGTGAAAAGTACGAAACTCTCCGAAGAGCAAAACACATTAAACATCTCGATGGCTTCAGGAAACAGAAAAGAAAGGGATCTTGCGGATGCATGGGGATGCGAATGTCCGGGCATTTATAAGTCGGAATGGGCGGAGATAGCTAGAACGTCGGCGGCATTTATGGCGTTGGGAGGGTAGCTGCTAATACGCGGATTGATATCGATCCACCCCAAATAACCCGACTCGCATGCAATGGGTGATGGATGTTGGTAGATTGCGGATTGTTAAATCTCCCACCCGCACTTATGTGGGTGGATGGCGGGTGGATTGCAGGTCACCCGTATGACCCGCATTTTATTTTCTACATGGAAAAATGTTGTTTCTTATAGTATCGAATATTCATCATATTTTCAAAATGCACTACAGTCTGACCATATACTGCAAAAGGTGGAGAATAAAAAATAATTTTGACTACTATTATTGGTTATTGTGTTGTGCAATATCCATTTGCAATGGATATTGGTATGCAAATTATTGTTAATATCCATTAAATATTGGGATACAAACTATAAATTATTAATTGTATCGAAATCACAAATTATTGATATAATCTTACTAATGTACTATGAACTTATTATAAATGTTAGTCAATTTTCTTAATGGCTAGTTGGAGAATCGCTTTTGCGGGTTAACCCGCGACCCAACCGCACTCATCCGCCACCCATCCAACCCGCATAAATATGTTGGTGGATTGTGGGTCACATATATTCCAACCCGCTAGTAAGTGAGTGGGTCAATTTTAGACCAAAATCCACCTAACCCGTGCATTGCTTCTAATTCAGAATAGGTTGGCCGGCCGGCCGGCCGGGATTTATATGAAAACGATCGATAGAAGGAAAGAAGCGTGCAATTGCGTCAATCATGCGATTCATACCCAGCCCACCCACCACGCCCTTATGTAATTCCCCAATTCGTGCAAGAGTCAACAAAAATGTGCATTATACATCGGTTTCCGCCATGCACCGACCACTGCTCTCACATAAAATCATGTATGCATCTACATTCTACCCACGTTTCACTCGTGAAACCTCCAACTTATTTCCTTCCTTTCACCCATTTTAACTGGAACGGTTGTTGGTGGTAGTTTTTATTTCTTATTTTAATTGGATGGTATTAGGAGGATAATATTTGGTTAGTTTTAGGTTGATTAGATGATTAGTCATTCCTAATCAATAAAATTATATTAATTTTAACACAATTGGAAAATAACATTTGAAATCGCAAATGTGGAAAAGTTGGGCGGGAATGAAATCACAAAGGATTAAATTAGCATTTGTTGCAATTTTGTCATCTAAGAGGTAAAGCTCAAATGAAATCATTTTGAAACCTAATGATGAGCAGCAGAACAATGTTATAATTCATGGATAATTAGCATAAATGGTAACAAACCTTTGTACTTAGTACAAAACGGTCACAAACCTTTAATTTGTAACAATACGGTAACAAAACTTTGAAATTGTATAAAATGGTCACCGCTATTTAATTTGTGACCGTTTTGTTTTAAATGAAAAGGTTTGTTACTGAATCGTTACAAATTAAATGTTTGTCATGTTTTGAGGTCGGGTAGTTTGTTCGTTAAGTATATGACACTAATCACTTGAACGACATATAAGATGTCAGCTCATGTGTTCATCGACATATTTGCTTTGCCAAATAAGAATGCCCTAAGTTGACCTTTCAATTTCGATACCAATCTATAAAAAACAAATTTCGATACCAAGAAAGTAGACAGAGTTTTTTCAACTAAAAAGCAGTCTGGAACCCGTTATGAGCCATTTAATTATCTCATTGTCTTCCTTTATGACGATCATATCATTCACACACATTAACAAAACCACCATACAACTAGAGCGAATTGTAACGGTGATTGAGCGTTCAAACTTTTGAACTTAATTTGTACAAAACGGTCACCAAAAGTCTAATTTGCAACGACACGGTAACAAAAGTTTGAACGGGTATGGAATGGTCACACTGTTTAATTTGTGACCGTTTTGTTCTAAGTAAAAAGTTTTGCTATCAAATGATTACAAATTAAAGGTTTGTGACTATTTTGTACTAAGTGCAAAGGTTTGTGACCATTTATGCTAATTACCCTATAATTCATCTGAATTGCTATTTGTCGCCCTAAAATTTAAATTTTATCACCCTAAAATGCATCAAATTGACACTCTTACCCATAGTCCCAATTTCAACCTAAACCTGAAAACAAAAAACCCCGTAGCCCCTGCCCAGCGCTCCTCCGTCCCATGACCGCTGCTGCCGTTGCCAGATTCTTATCTCCGACGCTGCCTATTAGAGAAGTAAAAGAAAAATTATTTTTAATTCTTCTCTTTTATTATTCCGCATACACAACCTCACTTGGAGGTTGCTATTTTGTTACCTAAAGGCCTTACGCGTTCATCCCCACTATGTAATTAGGAATCCTAATTTCTGTATATATCCTGCCAAGCAGGCAAAAGAAGAACGAAGAAAAGGCCACGACTGCTCCTTCTGTTGGCGTCGAGCAGGAAGAAGGAAGAAGCACTCGACTAGAGGCGTACGCTGGATTTTTCTAATTTCTATTTGTAGGCGCCGGACGGGTTGAAGTGGTCGGATTTCGGCGATGGTGATGACGATGACGATTAGGCCTCCGATGAAGTGGACTATGGATTGTTTGTTTTCCTTTTTCTTGTATTTTGTTATTTGGTGTAGTATATTAATTTGATTTGCGTTTAAGTATTTGAAAAATAAATAAATAAACTAAGGACATTAGAGTAAATTTAACTTAGTTTAGGGCGACAAATAATGAATTTTAGGGCGACGAATAGCAATGCCCTAATTCATTTGTACAATTTGGAGAAAACCGCCCCAAATTTGTCTCCATGATGAGCAGTTTTTTTTTTCTTCTTACGGTTGATGAGCAATTATTTTTGGCGACGATTGTAATGTGATTGGGAGAGCTGAGAAGGAAACGGGACAAAAAAAACGGCTTTGGATTTTCGGTGAAGGTTGCCACGCCACGCAAGCAGACGACGACGTGGCAGTTGCCTCGTGCCAGCTTAGCCTCCGTTCGCGCCAAGCGCGTGTCAGCATTGCTCCGCCATGCACCCACTGCGTTGCCAACACACGCCTTTTGGAAACCTCCCCGCATACTCCACGTTAGATGCTCGTCTCCTCCACCCGCTTCCCACATCTAACGGTCCTTATCCACCCATTTCCCGCACCTACGTACTCCGCACCACCACCCGATCATTCCCTCCCAACTCCCAAAACTATCCCCTACAACTGCCCACACCATCCCTCCATACATCTCACCAACGCGACCCTCCGATCCGTTGGGCGGACAAGAAACCACGTCGTGGCACGAGAATAACGACCGCCGCACCTGTCCACGATAGTCTGGTATGGTCGCTAGCGTACCAGATTTGATTCCTCTAAGTCTGACGTGTACATCGTTTCTGCCTCGTAGGATTCTCTTTTTATAAAACAAGAGCGGTTTTCGTTCTCTCTGCTTCCTCCGCATCGGAATAGAGGAGGGAAAAAAGCAACTGCCACAATCAAAGAACGTAATAATCGATTTCTTGATCGGCTCTTTTTTCCAGAATTGAAGTTAATTCGCAGCGTGATTGGGTGATCGGGGAAACCACCGCCGCCGTCTCAACCTTGTAATCCAATCGAGAACCGCCGCCATCGGAGATCATGGCTTCGTCTTCTACGTCTACGGCCATTGGCTGCGGCGGAGCAGCAGCTGAATTGAGAAATCACCACCGCCGCCGCCGTCTCGTGGCGGGACTCCGTTCAATTCAGATGGCGCGATTTAGTTCCGATGTCTCCGATCGGAGGTTTCGGCAGCTGGGGGTTTCCACATCGACCTCCCTGAGGACGCCGATTGCGGCCGGCGACGGGGGAATCTTTACGCCGAGGGTTTGTACAGCGACAGCAGAGGCGCCCGAGGGGAATAGTTTCTCTTTGTTGCCCACTGCGGCGGGAGGAGGAGGAGGCGGTGGAGAGAGGGGGGTTGTGGCGGAGAAGCTGGACGAGTGGATGAGGGACTCGGTGACGGATATCGTGAAGAACCTGACGGAAGCGCCGCTGCTGGTCCAGGTGTACTCCGACGAGAAGGGGAAGAAGCTGGAGACGGAGAAGGCCGTGGAGGAAGGGGATTGGAAGAGGCTGATCCAGAAGTGGAAGAAGCGGGATTCGCCGTTGCCGGAGGGGGTGATCTTCGTGGAGCAGCTCCACGACGGCGTCAGAACCGCCGAGGCAGCGGAGGAGGCGGAGAAAAAAGAATTGGCAGAGGAGGAGGCAACAAAGGCGTGGGGGATTGTGGTCCAAGGGAAAGGGGCGGAGTGTGGGCCGGTTTGCTACCTGCTGAAGACGAGCCGGGTCGGGTCGTCGGGTGTGGGCCTGTGCTGCACCCATTTCTGCTTGATGCGGGTCAAGGGTTTCAGGGAGAGTGCCAAATCACAGCTCAAGAATTGTTGGCTGTTGCAGGCCCAGTATGATCGCGTGTTCTGAGAGGAACCGAATCCATCCAATTCGTAAGGAATTTGGATAAAAATTGTTAATTAACTTTTATTTGATCATTACCATATTTGATTAGAGAGAGATCTCCACTCTGGGTTGTAACTTCCTGTAAAATTTTTTATTCCTTCCAATTGTGGTCTCTCACCTTTCACCTGTGTAAAAATCTTCTCTTTCAGAATTCAATGGATATTTACCGAAATTATATACGAGTTTGGAGAAATCCGGTCTAATCCAAATGCGGAGCCAGCATTTCAAATCACCTCTGTCATCTTCTTATAATATAAATATTTAAATATTTAATTAAAAATAAAGATAATTTAATAAAAAATAATTAAAAATAATTATATTTGCATAATCCATCCGTAGATTAAAAATAACTGATTATACAATCATTGTTTTTTAACAACCACGGAGAGATCTCATATTGTGAAAGAAACGCAAAAACATTCGTCGTCTACACTATAAAAATAAGTCTTTTTCAATGTATCTCACTAAATTAGAATTAGCAAATTGGTCACCAAATCGACTTGGAAACTTGTTCTTAATATAACTCAAAACTGAAAAATGCTCTTTTTACATTTGCAATTGTAATTCGTAGAATCAAAACTAGTGGAATTGTCGTTGTCGCTAGACAATTTAAGGGTTGTTGGAAAAAAAATCGAATAGGCATAAGGAGAAAAAAAATCCGATTAGGTCTTTATTGCAATTAGAATTCGTTTATAGTATAATAAATTAATTTGACGTCAATTTATGAATAAGTAATGAGTTGTGTTGTAAACTGTAGTGACAAAAATACTCTAATACTACCTATAGGAGTTGTTTTGCATCACAAATATACATATATATGACATATTTTTATTCTACCCCTGGCCCGAGACAAGGTCCAATTGGCCTCCCTCCGCCTATTGAGAGTATCCATCACGAAGTGCAATTTTGTAGATGCTCCTTATCGCGCACACCTATGCATCACCATACCAAACTTGGCAATTCAGCGTTTTGATTTCATTGTCTTTTTTCGAGAGATTGAGCTAGAGATGGCAATGGAGCGGGTTTGGGGCGGGTTTGCTTAAACCATCCCCATACCCATCTTCAAATACCCAAACCCATACCCGCCCCATACCCATGCGGGGGAATGTTTTGCAAACCCATCCCCATACCCGTGGGTTTCGGGTACCCATGGGTAATACCCATACCCGTACATCCAACATTATTATACCTAAAACTTACAAGAAAAGTTCTAATTATAATTCTAAACGAACATATTATATCATGAAGTCAATAAAACACGGTCATTTTTTAATATGGTTCAAAGATTATGATCCTAAAATCACCATTAATGCATAATATAGAGTATAATATTTTTCAAATTATTATGTTCTAACTCTGATATATCTACTAAATAACAATTAACTAACATAATCTTGTTGACAAGGGGGAAAGTGAAAGAGTGAAATGAGAATTGAGAGAAATGAATTAGATTTTGATTAAGGTGGTCAATCAATTGCATTTCTACTATTTATTTTCTCAAGTTATCCTCATCATCATTGATAGATTATAATTTGATGCACATATTTTTTTTATATATGAAGAAATTATCTCGGTAGGGCGGGTATGGGGATGGGTATGGGGCGGGGGAGGCTAAAACCATACCCGCCCCATACCCATCAAACTTTTTGCGGGTTTTACCCATACCTGCCCCATACCCGGTCAAAGCGGGGATTCCCCGCGTTGACTGGGTCGGGGGCGGTCGGATACCCGCGGTCATGGGTTTGATTGCCATCCCTAGATTGAGCTATTAGGATCTCTATCTATCTATCTATCTATCTATCTATACATGATATTATGACAATTCAAAATTAAATTTTTGCCACATAAGCAATTGGAGAGATCTCAAATTGTCAAGGTGGACAATTCTTTTACCAAAAAAAATAGTTATTGACCTATTTATGGAGTTGTCCCTCTCTCTTCATTTAATATTTAATTCTCTTTTATCCAATAATTATTTTGCTTTTGTTTTTCCATTATATCTATAAATAATTATTTTGCTTTTGTTTGTTGCATTCGAAAATGTGTGGACTGTGGACGAACGGTTTAGGGAAATGATAAAATGAGGAGCTTTGCTGGGCCTGGGCCTTGGAGCGAAATTGAATTTGAAATACTGAGCGCGCCCCGGGAGAGGGAATATCAAAATCACGTTCTCAATTCGGCACTTTCTCCTAGTCCGTCAGATTATTGAGATTTTAATTAGCAATTTAATTAATTGTTTATTCAAAGCTAATCAGTAATCTACTAATTTATTATTTATCACACAGACACCCACTGCAATTCCTTTTATACCCTGGACCTGCAGAAAGAAATATAAAAAGAAAACAAACACTGTAAGCGCGCCTTCTCCCTCTCCCTCCTATTTCTCTCTCTCTTTCCGTCTCGCTGCAAAATTCAAAATCCAAAATTCTGCTTGTCCAACAGATCTATCTCAGACTGCCTCCTTCTTCCCTCTCCAAAACCCTACCCCGCCACCCAATCCCCTACTTCCCACTCATTTCTTCTTCCTCACCCTGCAAAAATTTGCTAAGTGGGTTTTGTGGACAAGGTCGCGAATCTGAACCGGGAGTCTGCGGTTGTTGGAGTTTTGGCGCAAAAGGGCTTTCAGCAAACATGGAAGATCAAGCCGATTCTGGGTTGCCTACTGGATCTGCTTCCATGGTACATCTCATTCTTCTCTCTTTCCGTCTTTCTATTTGGCGTTTTGATTTTCTTTCTTCCCTATCTGGGTATGTATGGGTTGGATTTCCTCAGATTGTCGGCGATAAACGAGGCTGTGACGACATGGGGGAGGAGCAGGAAACTACGCACAAGCGGGTTAAAACGAGAAATCTCGACGCCGTGTTGAGGGTTCAAGGTTGGTTGGTTGCTTCTTATCCCTCAGTTTTTTCTAGCTCAAAGTATGAACCTTTCTTTACTGCAATTTGCCTGTACTCATCGTGATAGCTTCACTTGAATTTGATAAATACATTCAGTTGGGTAATTGGGTTTGCTTTTGTCATCTGTTCAAATATAATAATAAGCCCTTTTGCGATAGTTTACACTCCTACACCCGCACAAACTATAAAACATTATATAATGTCAAGAGAATTATGAATTTCTCGCTTGTTCACGGCTCTCAACTTACAGAGCTGTTTAACTGAGTTACCCAAGTGTTTGGGGGGGTTTTTTAGATGCAGATTCTTGTCAAGTCCAAAGAAGTGGTACAACAACTTTGACACAGTCAGCTGAAGTCAATCTTGTTCATGGCCAACTGGATCTCAATAGTAAAGCTTGTACCGGTTATGATTCTACAAGAAGTGATACCCTACATAGTGCAGTTAACTGTGATGAAGTTGCCAACAAATGTGCAACGTCTCTTGGCATTGGCTTGGATTTCAATGCAGCAAACATTGCTAGCTCAGGGAACCATTACCGGGTCTACCCGAACAAAGCTCCCAAAAGCTGGCAAAACTCAAGGGATGTATCTGAATGTGCAAGTACTACAGGTCCGGTGGTGGATAAAGATCCCTTGAAAGTTTGGAAGGAGATGAAGCAGAATGGGTTTCTCTCAGCTCCTCATGGTGGGATATCAAGTCAAAGCAATCTCCTTTCATCTTCTTCTCATGGACCACCGCATGGAGGGGTACCGGTGCCCAAGCAACGTGGGAGGAAACCCAAGAATAATGACATCACGAAGAAGAGAATGGAGATGGCAAAGAGAGAACAGGTGGATAGATTCACAAAGATTGCAGCTCCAAGTGGACTGCTGAATGATCTCAACCCGGGGATTATCAACCATGTGAGGAATAGCAAGCAGGTACGCTCCATTATTGAGGCTTTAGTGAAGTCCGAGAAGCACGAGGATAATCGTGAAGAAAGAAGCAGAAGGGATAGCCATCTAAAAGCTGGAAGCAAAGGATTTGGTGGAAATGAAAGCTCGTCAACTGCTGTGTTTGAAAGTAAGCTTATCGGAGGGTTCACGATATCAAGTAGAGAGTGTGATTCCAGCGCTGTTAGGGGGATGTGCGGAGGAAGCAGTCTTTCCTACTCTCACCCTGTAGGTGAAGATGGACTTGTGCTGAAATTATCATCTTCAATGAAAGTGCCTCAAGAATCTAGCAGCTTTTCCAACAATGAATCTGCAGATGGCACCAATGCCTCTTCTCTTTCTGCTAAAGGTGAGTACTCTTTTCAGCCCTTGGGATGATATTGTCTCATTTGTGGCAGAATCTGCAATTCCCTGTTCGTTGCTGTTACGCAAATAGCTTTCAGGATTAGGAACTGTTGCTTCATTCCAGCTGCTGTTAGCGACAAATTGACGGTGCATCTAATCTGTAATATTTTTTGTTCATCTGCTTTCAGCGGCCAGTGTTGCTTCCCAGTGGTTGGAGCTTGTTCAGCAAGACATCAAAGGACGGCTTACTGGTATTTACCTGTTAATCTTCACTTTCTATTCCTTGGTGCTAATGTCTTCAGTCTTAACAGACTAAGGTTTATGTAGCTTTGCGGCGTAGCAAGAGGAGGGTGAAAGACGTCATAACTACTGATCTACCTATGTTGATATCAAGAGAATTCGGCTCCCACCAAGAGAGCACCGACCCTTACAACATGCAGGCTGCTGCAATGCATCAAGCGAGATGGACCCTGAAGTTTGATCAAATGGATAAAGCACTCTCTGAAGAACAGAGACAACTTGTAAGTGTTACTATGTAGAAAGTTGGCTGTGCCAGCTGTTCAACAACCTAGTCTTTTGTGTTTTAAGTTTTAACCTCTCCCTGATGATGGCCGCTTTAAAATTCAGGAAAGTTGGCTGTGCCAGCTGAAAGAGATGCAACTGCACTGCGATCATGGGTTGCAGCATTACCAATTGAATGCAGTCATGGGACTCCAACAGCCCTCAGGGACGGCAGAATGCTACATCAGGTAAATGCTTTGGTTGAAGTCTCTGTGTTTTCTCCCTCTCTTCCTCCTGATATGCCTGCCTCGTTCTAATGATTTTGTTTTATGTTTGTTTGTAGAACGCCTAAGGCTGATAGCTCTGAGAAGGAATTGGCGGTGAGGGCAGCCGCAGCGTCCATATATTCAACATGCAATTTTTTCATGTCAAAAGAGAACGTCTCATGTTTCTGAGCCTCTTCTTGATGCTGCCTCTGTATATTTTTTTTTTTTTTAATGTTGTTGCCATTTTAACCATCGACTTCATCATATTGACATAGGGATTAGGATTGACTTGTGCATTTAGCAGCAGAATACAAATTAAGAAGCGGAAATGTAGCCTTCCATGAGTGAAGTATGTTTACTTTACCCTCTGATTGTGATTTGTGAGTGACAATTTTGCTTCTTTGCAGAAGGTTTATAGTAACAATTGTTTGATGACGGATTGATGTTCTTCAGAAATCTTTCAATCCAATAGAGTTAGGGGATTCTCAATGTTTTATCTGTTTGAATATTTCTCATTGTTTACACCTAAGTCTCTAATGAGTCTTAAACAGTGATGGTTTGATCTCTGGACATGGAGCAAAATCTGCAACGGATAGCTCTCCAATACAAAGCCAGCCCAGTTGCAACCTATGGCTGGGCTGTGCCAAGACAGTACAGTAACAGTCCCCCCGTTCCATATGTGACTATAGCCAGTTGGGAGTCATCTTGCTCGACAATTTCCTGGAGGTGGATGAATCATCTGAAACTTTAGCCAGGGATCAATACTGCAATTTTACGCTCTCTGCATTGTCCAACGTCTGAACCACATACCTATAAACATATATGAACAGTCAAAGGTGGCTCCCGAAAGGTGTCGAGAAAGCGAGAGGGAGAGACCAACCATCCATTTAAGCATTGTGTGATGACAACTGCCTCACGTTCTAGGAAACGCTTTGGTGATCTATAACTTTGTAAGTCCTCATCCCGCCGGTACAGCCGCTCGGAGTGCTGCAAAAATTGCAGAACAAGAATGAAGGAAGTTATTTTGCAATGCAACTAGCATCAATGTCCTATCTTTTCAACACAAACCTATTCTGCAGTGGGAAAACCTGTTCTCTCCCTGGGAAGTGTTTCAAATTCTGAGCAACCGAGTAAAGAATTTTAAGTTGTGGGTTTCAGCTATGAACACTATGAAGCTTACCAAGAGCAGGAGATATTGATTCTTCTTAAACTGGCCTCAAACAGCTGTAGCATGATCTCTGGGTGCAGGCAATTGAAACCCAGAATCAGCCCGCTCGACTAATGCACAAAACAAAAGCAAGGAGGACAAAGAGTGATCAAGTAGTTGCTTGAAACAAACAAACAAAAAAAAACGTGTTCATAGAGACCAAGAATGATATGATCATTCTACTTTTACGTGACCAGTAATTACAATTATGCTTCCAGGGAATTGGCAAAGAATGAGAACCAAGGATGATGGTTTAGAAATCTAAATTAAAAAAGAGGGAGCAGAAATACCACAACGGTAGAGGAAGGAAAGCTGTGAGGCAGGAAGGAGTATATAGAGTGAGCTAGGTGCAACTGGGCTACATACTTACCTGGACGGGATCTACGGGCGATCTCGAAGGCTTGTGGTCTAGGTCAGTGACCTTCATTGCACATTGCGGAGGGGTGCTGGGCTAAGGTCTTCCCAAAGTGGAAGAGCCTACGTCATAATTTGTGGCAGCGGGGGCCTGCGTTCGCGCGGCCTCTACCCAATTATCAGTTCAATTGATTTGGGCCTGGTCCCTCTTTGGTTCTCAATTCTTTTGGGTATTAACCTCGGGCATATGTCTGCAAGGCCTAGTAAGAAGGGTTAATACATTACTCCATTATTCGTGTCAGTCAATTTCATAGTAGACGTTAGGAAGGTTAAATACTTAAATCAATTGGACCGACCAGAGTATGACCGACCAGAGAAGTTAGGAAAGCTTGAATTTCAGAATGAAACTTTGAAGCAATCGGTTGAAGGAGGAAATTATTTGGGTGGTGGGGGGAGATTTTTTGTGTAAAAATAAAAGGAACTTTGACGGCGGTGGGTGAAGTGATGAAATGACTTTGTTGGTGCAAACTTCGTTAAGATATTCAATTTATAAACTTCTCATAAAATAATGTCATCTCGTACGTTTTTTTAATTTTCCAGTAAATTAACGAAGAATGGAAATCGGGCTTCAGGGATGGTGTGAGGACTTGACGATTGAAGAGTTGTAGAGATAAGAGGCCGTAGGAAGATTTTGATCGTACAGACTCAGGAATAGGATGGGTTCTAGATGGTTTGTAGAACCAAAAGTGTGAATACCACATCGACAACTTATGTAATTTAAGAAGGAGAAACTACTATAAAAAAGGAGCTAAGTGCAACTAAACAACATACTTACCTGGACGTGATCAACAGGCGATCAACAAGGCCTGTGGTCTAGGCCACTGACCTCCATTGCACCTTGCGGAGGGGTGCTGGACTAAGGTCTTCCCAAAGTGGAAGAGCTTACGTCATAATTTGTGGCAGAGGGGGCCTGCGTTCGCGCGGCCTCTACCCAATTCTTAGTTCAATTCTTTGGGTTGTGATCTAGTACTTGCTAATGTGAACTTCCCTACATTCAATTATCAACTATCTAAGAGTTGACCTTAGTTGGTCATCATCAATAAACCTTAACCACTCCAAACACACAATTAAACTAACGGGCCATTTGTTTCATGGATTTGAAAAAATGAAGGTCTTGGTAAAACTTGCATTTTGTAAAACCATGGATATATGAGGGTTTTAGGTTCATTGTGGACTTGAAAACACCATTGTTTGTTTCATAGATTTCATTATGGATTTGGTTAATTAGATTTGTATGTATGAAGTGGAATTGACCTATATTTCCCTTAGTGGTATGAGAGGAAAAAGGTAGTAGGATGGTTCGGTTGGTCATATATGATGGACTTCAAAGTCCATAATCATTTCCCATCTAAAGAGGAAGAAATTTCAAATATGCGAGACCCACGTATTTGTTGTCCCTAAATACACGAAGCAAACAATTGAACTGCACGAAATTTATCATACATCCAAATCCATCACCGGATACATCAACCAAACAACTCTATATATATCCAAACTCTCATGTCAAGATATTCTCTTTGAGTCTCCCTTCAAAATGGAATTGACTTACACACAACATTACAGTTTGTATATAGTTATTTTTACTTTTTGCTACGAGTTACTTTTCCACCAAACCTTATACATTTAATGAGATTAACCGTAAAAATTTGATATCTACAAGTTTTTTTTTTCAAATGAAACTAAATAGCTTTAGCTAATGATCTAACACCAATTAGAGGGTTTGGAAATTGGACAAAATACAAATGAGCAAACAAAATTACGTAAGTCACAAGGATTTATGATAAACTAGTTATGTAAGTCAAATTGTTTCCCTTGACAAAAACTTGTGTTGATACTTAAAATGGATTGTACCCGGAAATTCTTGTACAACGAGAGAAGCATCTCGAGAATACTACGTTGATATAATGTCATTTATATTTGTATCTTAATCCCAAACAAATCCATCTAAAACAAGCAAACAGTAATATCGAACATCATTTAAAACATTGCCTTCTAAAATTGGTAGATGACAATCTAGAATTTTCAACATTTCTAAAAAAAAAAAAAAATTCCAACCTTCAATTTATACTTGGCAAATTACAATCCGATCCGTTGATCCGACCTGAACCCGCCCGAAAAGCAGAATTTTTTATAACGCGAAACTGATAACTCGTGATTTTTTGGGTCGGGTTGGGTGGGTTAGCAGGTCGACCCATTAGACCCGTTCCATTTTATATATCACTCTCAAAATGATAAAATCACTCATGAGTTTCTTGTAGTAGAATTACTCTTGTGATTGTTTTTTGATGATTTGCATAATTTGTATTTCTTTTCATTAGCATGAGAGGATTTGAGAATATGTTAATTGACATGTGTTAGAGCGTCTTCGAGTTCGACCTAGTTACTCTCTCTCGCCTTTTCGAATGAAGATGAAAAAAAACACATTTCAACCTATCTTGTGCTCGCCCCTTACCTGCTGCTTAGTCTGTTGATTAAGATGTGGATATTGCAGATGATGATTTGGATTGCACTTTCACTTATACGCCCACCAACTTCCACCTTAGCTTTCACCAACTAAAGGAAAGGGAACTGCTGGCACAAGTAACATTTTCACTGCGAACTTAATAAAAACTTCCTTCCCGGCTACGCACTATGATCCCCGGTACCAGATCGTACCATCATAAGCGACTACCCTTTTTTGGTTGTGGTGTTGTATTCCCACCTTGAGCCCACCCACCAAAATACTTTTGAAAGCCGTTTTGTGCGCAAGGCTGTAGTGGGGAACCTTGGATAAGAAAGAATCTTTCTCGGTTAGTGTGTCCCTGAGTAGAAGTGGGTAAACTATTGTCATACATATGTGAAAATTTGTGTTCTTTAAGAAAATATGAAACATGTTTGATATTGTTTCTGAGAGCGCTCATAACCCGAAATGACTTGTAACCCGACTCAAAATCGAATAAGTTGGGTCAATATTTGACCCGAAATCAGCCAACCCAATATGACCCTACCCGTAACCGTAAGCCCCAACCCGAAATCACCTAACCCGATCCGATTGTCAGGTCTACTTCAATTGGATTGTGTTAACCCTAAAGCACAATGAGCTTAGTTCACGTCATTCTGACCATGACATGATGTCGATATTTCATGTAAAGATGAAAGGTTAAATTGTAAGTTTGGTCACTCGAATTACTTAAAAAGTTTACGTTTGCCACTAAAATTGGTTTATTTCATTCGTAGTCACTCAAATTAGTTTAACAGTTCAAGTTTGGTCACTCTCTGTTAACTTTATCTGATGTGACAGTCAACTTTAAAAATTGACCACTAAATAAGTGATGTGGCAATTAAAAAAAAACTTTTCAAATTCCACGTCATTATCACAAGAAATAAAAAAAAAATTATTATTTCCACCTTCTGACCCTATCACTACTCTGCTGGTGCAACTCCGCCGCGACGCTTCCATAACAAGACCGGCGATGTCGCTTCCAGAACAAGCTGGTGGAGAAAATGAGGAATCCGGTGATGAACTTGCAAACCCATAACTACTCCGGTGGGATTGAGAGGACATTGATTCATTTTCTAGCCGGTGAGATTGAGATTGAGAGGAGTTTCTTTAACATGCGCACGAGAGCAGAGCCGTCCCATAATATTTGGAGGCCCTGTTCGAAAATTTAACATGTGGCCCCTATTTTTTTCTCTCAATAAATTTATTAAAAATAAAATTTATTAAATAATTATAAAGTACATAAGTTCAGAAAATGATTTCAAAATGAATAAACAATCTCACTTCCTATTTGACCAAGAAACCAAGACCAAATTCTCACTTCTAGCATGGAGGGAAAAAAGTAAATATGGAGGAAACAGAAAATAGATATAGAGCAAAAATTGAATGGAGAAATGAAAATAATATAAATTGATCGAGAGGTGGGTGCGGGTCTATCTAATGGATCATGTAGGCCCTATTCTAAAATTGAGACATTATCCAAATTGACTTTTAACTATAATAAAACTAAAATGATTATAATATCATTATTCAAAATGTAATATCTTTCTTTATTGTTTAAATTAAAATTATCTATTATCTCTCTGATTTTCGAATTCTTCATGAGATCTTTTTCAATTGTTATTATAGCTAAAGTTATCTATTAAATTCGTCATCATATTCATAATCTATCAATCATACACTAAAAAAATAACCTGCAATATTCGATCGGTAACTAACGAATCTGAGTGGAGGCCCCTAATATTTAGAGGCCCTGTGCCGAAGGGCGGGCCGGCACACCCTCTTGGCCGGTCCTACACGAGAGAGATCCATGATTCCAACGAGCACCCGAGAGACTCCATCGATCATTTGCGCGACGTGCTCCGCAGCGGTGGTGGTTGGGTTGGAGGGAATGATAGGATCCGTATAGAATTCAAGACCCAGCGGTAGCATTTGGTTGCTAATCATTGTATCAGTAGCACTTAGTTTTGGATCCTAATAGATTCGAGTTTTTGGGTTTGCGGATGAACTTTTGAAACGAATACCGGAGTGTGATGAGGTTATGAACTGACCATAGTGCAGTGTAATTCGGGTTCTATCAACCCTTTGGAGCTAGCTAGTTTCATCCATTTTTGTGCATTTTATTGGGAGTGTTCGTGAATTTGTGCAAATTCTATCCGCGGCGGGGGATGGCGGCGGAGGAGGTGGGGAAAATCGTACGGGAGCGGGAGAGGGTCAATCAACTTTTATTTTCTTTTTTTGGTGCATAACTTTTATTTTCTAATGGTAAATGAGGTGGAAAATATAAATATGAAATTTTATTTTTTATATTAATTTTTAGTTGCAACATCACACATTTAACGGTCAACTCTTAGAGTTGACTGTCACATCAGAAAAATTTAACGGAGAGTGACCAAATTTGAATTGTTGAACTAATTTGAGTGACTATGAATGGAATAAACTAATTTGAGTGGCAAACGTGAACTTTTTTAAGTAATTTCAGTGATCAAACTTGTAATTTATCCAAAGATGAAATATAAGATACAACCCAAATATAAATTATCTTATTTCACATCATAAACTAATTTGAATTTTGTCAATATTACTATTAACAAAATGTTTCAATAGTAAATTAAAATTCATACATCAGGCATATCCATTATTGAATTTCATATATTTCACAGACTGAGTTCAAATTTAATTCATGCCCATTAAGATGGATACATATATATTTAGTAATCCATTTACAGTTCCCGAGGCAGACATATATCACATATCACACTCATTTGTCTAAAGGTGAAAAGAAGGGTAGTAAAACACACTACAGATCAGTAGATCCAACATGCCCCGCCAACACATAGGTTCTACAGTCAAGAGCTCTTTCTTTTACATGCATGCATGCCTACTGCCTAGGAAACCAAGCATTCGGGGTGGGCAACGGGACTCGTCCCGTTTAAAATGGGTGCTTGGTTCCATTTGAAGATCAATCTCCATAATTCAATTTGAAGTTCATTAACGAGTACCCATATCCGTATGGGACGAATAACAAGTACCCATACTACCCGTAAATATCCGTACAATGGATGACAGTTGAGAGTAGCACCGTTAACTGCTTGAAAAAACAATTGTGCAAACCTTTCGTACAAAATGCTGTGAAGCAAACTTTGCCCGAAAAATGAAGCAGTGTTCTTTTCTTATTGGTGTTTTTCCCCATGAAATTACCAGAGCTAAGAGAGATTTGTGGTAAGAGTGAGAGTCTCGGACTCTTCTGCTACCCAATTATGTTTTGAGCACTTCTGCTCAATTAAACTTTGCCATTTCTGATGTACTCAATTCATTTAACTTTTGGACTAATAAGAGTATTATGGGGTACCCAAAGTAGCAATTCTTGATTCCAAGTCCTATCCCGTAAAATATATTATGGGTATTTGGGTATCCGTAACCCTCAAAAAACGGGAAGTGTACGGGTATACCCAAATACCCGTTTCCTGTTGCCCACCCCTAAAGCATCATACTTGTACAGTTTTAGTATGTAAAGGGTGAATTGAGGAACCATAATTCTTGCCCACCTGTTCTCCAATGATGCTTTATGAAGCTGTTGTAACGAGCTGTATCCCTACTTCTATTGCTGATGTAATAGCCATCGAGGCTAGTTACTATTCACCATTAATGAAGGGTTTGTTAAGTTACTCCTGATAGAAAAGAAAGAAATAGCAGCATAGCTGCTGCATAAAGAAGAGCAGATATGCTCAGGTCGGCCATAATAAAAAGACTGGAATCTCAAATATGGCTTGAGGACTGACGAGCTAAGAGTTGCAGTGAGATGTGGCCGGATGGAGGGAGGAAGTTGTTGTCTTGTTGATTGAACATACAAAGGAATGGGTAGTAGGATGGATCATGGACGGGAGAGTGGGATTACCACATCGGGAGCATAATAGAGTTCCAGAGGAAGGAAAGGGGCATAAAATGGTAGCTAAGTGCTACCGAGCAACATACTTACCTGGACGGGATCTACGGGCGATCAATAAGGCCTGTGGTCTAGGCTAGTGACCTCCATTGCACATTCCGGAGGGGTGCTGGGCTAAGGTCTTCCCAAAGTGGAAGAGCCTACGTCATAATTTGTGGCAGCGGGGGCCTGCGTTCGCGCGGCCTCTCCCCAATCCTCAGTTCAATTGCTTTGGCTAGAGATGGTTGCTCTTCCTACACAGCAGGGGCTATGTGATTCAACATTCTGCAGAGTTAGACAACCAATGGTGTAATTCTAAGAACACCGACTTCTTTCCTCCACGCGCTGTTCTGCACAAATAGTATATAATCTCCCTTCTCAGTTGTCACCTAAACTTGCAGTTCTGCCAACTCTGCAATAGTGATAAACAATGTATGATCATGCTGTGAACATGCTGGAAAAGGGAAATGAAATAGAGCTAAAAAGATCCATTGTAAAATAATTTATATTTGATGCTTCATTTTCCAGAACTGGTTTATCCAGTTCTGCTTGGGTTGAAACTAAGCTGAAAGCTCTGCAATACACCTGTAGCAGCCGCTGTTGGTATCTAGAATTAGCGAGAAGATTGCAGCTACAATTCGACAGATTCAAGACATGTACTCGCGGTAGGTATCTAGTAATCTTCTTATGGGGTCCTCTCTCGAGTAATCTAACCATTCCACGGTCTAGTATTATGCAAACTCTTCATGTGATAAATTATGCTGAAAACATTGAACAAAGTCTCCTCACTCATGCAACTAGGATCCCTTCTCTGGCATGCAGTGACGAAAGATAAGGGAGTAGAGAGCAAATGAAGACTGCTTCTTATACCAAGGAGTCCAACAGAACTCGCAATCTGAAATTGTCAGCCAAGCCATCTGAATATGAAGATTTAGCAGACTCTGTGGAGTGTGAGCAGTAGGACACTGCAGATGTTCCGTTGCTTGGCGGCAACCGGAACTAACTTACATTTCTTGTATATACATAGTGTGTGTCTCATGTCGTAGTTAGGCGTGTAATCAAGAGTAATTCTTTAGAATCAAACATTAGTAAGCTGAGGCCAACGTTTCAACAAAGCCTAATTCTTTATTCTGGAAACAAGCAAAAAAGGAAATCAAGCCGCACTTGTTGGTATCAAAACAAGGGGCCGACTCATCAAAAACCGAGCGATGCATCATAGGGAATCAGCTGATAATCATCTTGTTCAAGAATTCAGCATGCTCTGGGAAAAACTCTAGCAGTTCGTCCTTGGTCACCCACACAAAATCCTGACACTTGCCTATTTTGAACTTGTTCGTTGCAATCACCTGGGACTTGAAAAAGAATTGCTGAAAAGGAGAGAGAAAAATATGAATAGGATAGGAGGAACGAAAACTAGCTTGTGATGGGAGGGAGATTGTTAGTCATTGAGAACTGAACAAAAGGAAGTACCTTGTAACCGAGTTCCGGTGCCTTTTCTGCAGGCTGAACCGCCAAGTGACCCATAGGAGCATTACCCACAAAATATGTGTGGGAGAGGTCCCCTAACACAGACTGTAATGCAGTCTCAGCACACTGCGCCAAATTCCAGAGAAATAACATGAGAAGAAAATAGCAATCCGGAATTTTGAGGCATCTATTAACTCATATAAGCAACTCTGGTCACCTTGCGTAATGTATCTTCGGAATCATAAACCTTCTGGGGGAAATGCCAGACGGGTTTGCCATCAGAAGATCCATGCAACTTTCCATACAGAAGAAGGTAAAGCCTTCTATCCAATGCCCTGTTAAGTGACCTATAAAAGCATACAAACCAAAAAAACTACTGTGATAAATATATTGGACAGCTCTAGAGGAGCAACTCCAGTGACATGATATGCAACCCTTTTTCTATTATGACTTGAGCATTTATAGGAAGAACTACAATTAACCATACACCATTTGGGGGATTACACCACAACTAATATACTCGCGAGGCCTAAAACACAAAGGTTGTCGAAAGTTGAGTAAGTAGAAATGTTTGTCTGATGAGGGGAGGTTGAATTAATCCTTGCATCTAGATCTATAAAGTTAGGACTAAAACATATTTTCCCTTACTTTCGATCATTTGCTTTGTCAGCTTCTGTGGTCCTTGGGGCTGGAACATACTCCATTTGGTATTCACCTTGCGCCCTGATTACAATTGAAACAAAACATTAGAGCCATTAAAATCAACAGTACAGTAATCCATGTCTGCTAGCAGGAAATGGAAATAGTGTACACTCTGCACTGAGCATATATTACATGATATATCAGGCAAAGTTTCATCTCACCACAACCAAAATCATCATTGGAATCGTGCTGATAACCATCAAACAGCAAGAGACCAACAACTATGGATAGATAAAGAAAAAAGCTTCGAACTGAAGGGTGGCAGACATAATAATGCCAAAGAAAAAACAAGAATTATATGATCCAATGCAGTGTTTGAAACAGCAGATTTTCAAGTTACAGGACCTATTACGCCAAACTATGCTTATTAGCTGGATCCTTCGAACAGCAACCACCATTAAGGATATTGAATTCGCCAGAGGAGGTCAAACTAAACAATTATGGAATACAGAAACCATGACAGGTAGCAGCTTATCAACGAACTCAAACCATGCAGCAAGGCAAAAGCAATTCAAGAACATAGAATCCAGGATGACCCTTTTTCCCTTAACAAAAAGAGTAACGCTTTAAAGCTATGGCGAGCGAAGAAATTCCGATTGATCAGAGAAATGCAAGGCCCCGAAACCACACACCTAGAGTTGGATTTGTTCAAGAACTCATCCGGATATCTGCGGGAATACTGCTGCTGCCATCGAAATCTAGAGAAGAATCCCAAGTTAGAAAATAGCCCAATAGAAAAAGAATGGAAATTAAACCGAGGGGAAGCCATAGTTAGAGTCTTGGAGAGGCGGTGGCACTGACGAGAACTCCTGGAAAGCGTAAACCGACGGTTCGATTTTGGGAACGACGACGGGCAACCTCTCGAAGAGGACGGAGGCTACGATTTTCTCGGAGCTAGTAGAGAACTCCCGCGCCGACGCCAGCAGCCGGCGGGGAAACGACGTCAACGTCCGCCGCATTTGAGGATCTGACAGAGAAGGGCGAAAACCCAACTCAAAATGAGGCTCCAGGAAGAGGAAAACCAAAACCCAGAAGGCTAAAACCCCAGGAAATCTATTAATGACTGTTACTAACCTGTGAACACTCTCTGAAACTGTAAAGCAATGGCCTTTTTCAGTTTAAAGAAAGAAGGACACTCTCACTCCTCACTCCGTTGGGCGTTCAGTCTAGTTTTTTTTTTGTTGAATTAGTTTATTTTCTTCCCTGGGGATCTGTCCCCTGCAATTTGAGTTTGAGAGAACAAATGAATTTCGAATTACTCTTAAAAATTTAAATTAACGGGAGCTAATGTTAAAATGAAGACGGTAAAAGGATTGGAGCAAAACTTGTAAAGAGAGGGTTCTACTGTTTCACAGTTTGAAAGTAAGGTTGTTAGATTTTTTAGCCATCTGATGGCATTCAAGGTTGCTTGAGTACAGACCCAAACATGAATCTCTGAGTGGAGATGATCATGAAAGTAACAAACAAACTCACTGGATCAACATGAAAACAGGTTTTTGAAGGCCACATGCATGCTATTACAGAAGAATTTATTGCTTACATTCTCGAACCCCCTTCAATGTACGATGGATACTAAATATAGACAGGGTCATTTGTGAGCCCAAAACTGATGTTCAAGTTCACTCAGATGTGAAATCATGTTTCAAAGCTATAGTTTGCGCCATTGAGCTATTTCTAGGAAGTAGTATGAAGGGACTAGTTGTTTAATCACCTACTGGGGCCGTTCCTTTTTCCTTATATTTTCTGTGTTTGTCATAAATGCCAAAATTTCTGGCAGAATCCTAACACAACATGGGAGTGAGACACTGAGATTCCTAAAACTTTCTGAAACGTACCTCATAGCACAGAGGATCAGCCTTAACAGCTGTTTTGTACCTTGGAAATATACGACAAGGTGGATCAAATAAGCTCCTCAACAGAAAAATCTGGTAGTCAACTCCTTCATTGTATAAACAAGCAATAAGGAAAGAATAGAAAAGAGATCACCTATAAATGAATTTCAAAGACAAAAAGAGAAATGAACAACAAGAGAACACTGCTAAATCGAGAAGGTTAAAATATATAAATGGCCATTCATAATAAGCACAAATCTGCACTTGATAAGTAGTCATGCATAGCAGCTAAATTTTAACAAGGAAGTCGGTGTATAGCACCACATCCACAGAATTTTCAAGAGCTCTAGTAAAATGAACTGCAAAAATTAGTGCAGAAGCTTCTCAAACTAACTTTTTAACTTGCCAAAGCAGGTCAAAATATGTGATAATTCCTAGGGGTGGAAGTTTGAGTTGCGGGTTGTGGATAATCCGCAAACCGCACCAATCCGCACCTATTGTAGGTAACCATACCCACAAGTTGTGGGTAGTGGGTTGGATGTGGGTAGTAAACTAACGATTTTGTGGTTAGTGGTTATCCACTACCAACCGCAGATAACCCACAAAATCCACAATAACCACACTAATTATATTTATTTAGTGAAGTAATTTTATAATATAATATGTGAAAAGTGCGAGGATAAAAATTAAAGTAGTCACCAAATAAGAATGACACACCTAATCAGTTTTATGTAAGAATTTTTTAGTTTATAAACACTATAATCGATAGAGTGGAGAATAATCAATTCATCAAAAGTGAACACCTTTTATAACTTTTATCAGTATGTTTTTTCTTTTGTGCGAAAAAAATACAAGATCATATTTAATTGTCATATTTCACCCCTAGTCGGGGAAATATGAAATCACAGCTCTCTGACACAAAAGTTGAATACCAAACTCAAAAGAAAAATCTCCACGTTGATTAAGATCGATGTACAAAATTGTATCTCCACGAACAACACAAGTGTATATCACTATAATCTAGTTACGAACAACAAATACGTTAGTGGCAACTAGAACTCTATGCTTGCAAAGATGGATTTTCGCGGGTAACCACACCCAGCACGCACAAACCCACAATGAATAGTGATTATCCACTAACCACTGCGGTGCAGATTGTGTGTAGCATAATTGTAAATTTGTGGTTGTGATTACCCGCAAAATGTGGGACGGGTAACTACACCCACCCCAATTTCCACCCCTAATAATTCCCATCCATCCCAAGTCCCAACAACAGAAGGGATGTTGTTGAATTAACTATTCTGGCAATAAGAACGTAGTTTTTGGTGCTGTGTTTGGCTCTCTAGCCTTGGTTGTCATAATCAGCTTGATAGTGTCCGCTTTCTTGAGCACGAAACGCATGGAGAAGCTAGGTAAACTACTATTATTTGTAGTATTAGAGAAGAAAGCTAATAATTAATGGTTGCTAAAGATTCTTTCAATGTCTTATGTCTTACAGCATCAGTGAAATTAACAGGAAATAATGTTACCTTTTTGAGCTATAAGAATTAATGTATTAGCTGTCAAAGGAAACTTTTATGAATCCAATAACCTGTCAAAGGAAATTTAAATTATGATATATCAAGATATCCGGTGCGAAGCCTGGGCCATTTATCTAGTAAAATATGTAAAGGAGCTACGTGGTTGCTTCTGAATAAATGGATGTGTAATTTATATACACATCTATCTGCTTTGGGGAAGTAAAATGGCAGCTCAAACCGAGACATAACAGAGCAAATCCCCTCCCTCAATCTGTCTCTATTCCAGAATGGATTTTTTCCTCTTCAATTGCTTACTCTGCCTCATCTTCACCATCATCGCCTTCCTCCGATCCCTGCAGAAGAAGGCAAGGAGAAATCCGCCGCCCAACCTGCCGCCGGGCCCCGCTCGGCTCCCCTTAATCGGCAACCTCCTCAATCTCGGCGAGAACCCTCACAAATCACTGGCCGACCTCGCCAAAATCCACGGGCCCTTGATGAGCCTCAAGCTGGGCCATGTCACCACAATCGTGGCTTCTTCCCCAGCTGTCGCCAAGGAGATACTCCAAAAGCACGACAAGGTCCTCTCCGACCGCCACGTCTCCCTCGCCGGGAAAGCCCACAACCTCAGCGACTTCAGCTTGACGGCGCTCCCCGTGGATTCCAAGTGGAGGAATCTCAGGAAAGTGTGCAACTCGTATATCTTCACGACCCATAAGCTGGATGCCAACCAAGAGCTCCGGAATGACAAGATTGTGGAGCTCGTGGACGGTGTTCGACGAAATGCGTCAGAGAAAGGGGAAAAGGCCGTGGTGGATGTTGGGAGAGCGGCTTTCAAGGCCACTTTGAATTCTCTGTCGGCGACTATTTTTTCGTTGAATCTGGCGGACGAGGAAGGGTCGGAGACCGCCAGGGAGTTCAAGGATCTTGCGAGGGGGATAATGGAAGAGGCCGGCAAGCCCAATCTGGGAGACTATTTCCCCATTCTGGCAAAGTTGGATTTGCAGGGGATACAGAAGCGGGTGACGGGTCACACAGGGAAGGTTTTGGATTTGTTCGGATGGGTCATCGACCAACGGCTGCAGAAGCTCAAGTCGGAAAACTATGCCTCATCCAACGATATGCTAGACACGCTTCTTGCCATTGGAGATGATGACCACAATCCAGAGACTACCATGGATTCAACTCGCATCAAACACTTGTTCCTGGTGAGTACTTTCGATCAACCCGAAGATGTTTCAGTAGCTAGCTAGAGATCCTTGATCAAAAGTTTTGACACGTTTACCCCACATCGAAGGTATTACTGAAACGATGAGACAAGTTAAGCTAACATACCGTTTGGTATAAATGAATTCTATAAAGAAATATTTTTGTGTTTGGTATTTAAAAGAATTCATTTTTAATTTTAAATTTTGAATTCTACGGAATTGGAGATAGTCATAGCAATTCCAAGGAATTGAAATGGAATTTCCAAATGAATTCCACAAGTATTTACTAAATTACTCTTTTATTAACTAAATTACTTATACATATGATATACCAAACACATGAATTCATTTGACAATGAATTATACACGTCAATTCATTTTCTTTCTAAAGATTTGAATATGGCATACCAACACAAGATTTCATTTGAGAATGAATTCTACACGGTAATTCATTTTACAATAAAATGAATTCTCGATTCATTTGGTACCAAACGGTCTGTAAAGGTAGAGATGTTAACTAATGAGGGTTGAAAAGGCAAATTTTGAAGTGTGTGCGGCATGTGAGAGTTATTAAGGACATGTACAATTTTTTTATTTTTATAAAGGAACCAATGATGAATAAACGAGATGGCACAATAAAAATTTGGGTTATAGGTAGGGCTGTTAATGAGCCGAGTCGAGCTTTGTCATAGTTCGGGCTCGGCTCGTTAATATATTTCCAGGCTCGAGCTCGGCTCGTGTTCGTCACGAGCTTTAATATGCAAGCTCGAGCTCGGCTCGTTTATGAAAATGAAAGCTCGAGCTCGGCTCGTCAAATAAGCTTAACGAGCCCAAAATCAAGTTCAGCTCATAAAATGTTCATGATAGCTCAAGATTGACCTAGAACTACGCACAAAAGTACATTCAACTCTGTAGCAAAGTAAAACACAATATTTATTCCAATTTCAATACATAAAATCCATGAATTCTAATTCTTTTTTTATGCCAAACCATTAAATGAGCTTGTTCGCGAGCTTTCGAGCTGAACATGGTATGGCTCGAGTTCGGCTCGTTTAATTAACGAGCTTGTTCGCGAGCCGGCTCGATTAAAACGAATCGAGTATCAAACGAGTTTTTCTCGAATCGCACACCGAGCCGTTCATGAGCGGCTTGGTTCATTAACAGCCCTAGTTATAGGTATAATATGCCCCTCTAATATGTTGTTTTATCAAACATGTCCCTCTGCTATTTTTTACATCAAACATGCCATTGTACTTTAGAAAAATGATCAAACATGCCCTTCTGTTAATATTTCCATAAAAACAGTCAATCATGTTCGTACCTTGGTTTGGGCGACACAAATGTCTAAAATATCCTTGGTAATTTCACTTTAAAATTTTTTGGGTTCTTTTGTAGAGCCTAATACCTCTAATAATTTCCATTTAACGAGCCTTAGAAAAATAAAATGGGGAACAAAACTGACATTTTCGCTCTCATTTGCCGATGTCGGGTCATCTACATCTCTCGGTTCAACCATGGTTGGCGATTTTTATAATGGAAATATTAACAGAAGGGCATGTTTGATCATTTTTCCAAAGTACAAGGGCATGTTTGATATAAAAAATAGTCTAGGGGAATGTTTGATAAAACTACATAGTAGAGGGGCATATTATACCTATAACCCTAAAAAAATTTAGTCAAAGAAAGTACATATTTGTTGGGAAAAAAATTATCGGCTAGTTCTTGATTTTCAACACTCTGTGTCTCTGCATTCCTTCTGCTCACATATATTGGTTTATCAGGATCTTTTTGTTGCCGGTACGGATACAACTTCGAGCACGATAGAATGGGGGATGACTGAGCTACTTCGCAATCCTGACAAACTTGCTAAAGCTAAGGAAGAACTTAACCAAACTATTGGAAAAGGCATTCATCTTCGAGAGTCGGATGTCCCTCGATTACCATATCTACAAGCAGTAGTGAAGGAAACATTTAGACTACACCCAGCAGCTCCATTGCTACTTCCACGCAAGGCAAGGGTGGATGTGGAAATCTGCGGTTTCACCGTTCCCAAAGGCGCTCAAATTCTAGTCAATGTATGGGCTATAGGTCGGGATTCGATGACATGGGATAATCCGAACTCATTCATGCCTGAAAGATTCTTGGGTTCGAAGGTTGATGCTAAGGGGAACAATTTTGAATTGCTTCCATTCGGCGCAGGGAGAAGAATCTGTCCTGGAATGCCCTTGGCATTGAGAATGTTGCATATGATGTTGGGTTCCTTGATTCATTGGTTCGAATGGAAGTTGCCAAATGGGATTGTGCCAGAGAAGATAGATATGGAAGAGAAGTTTGGATTAGCTTTGCAAAAGGCCGAAGCTTTGCTTGCTGTTCCAACTCCCATATAAAGAAGACTATGAACTCTATTTGAAAACTACTGCTCTTGTAATAAGTTGCTTGACAATTTTTTTTTTCCAGAGTACTTTGAAAGCGACGTTTTGAAGATTAGCGAGGAAAGTTCAATAATTGATCATACCCACACCATTTAATATGTGGGTCTATGGTCCGCTGGATCTTTCTAACGAGAAGAGTCTACCATTAAAATGCAAAATTTCTTATACAGGGCTAGTATGCCATCAACACAACTTGGGAAAATTTTCAAGCAGAAAGTAGACAATTGCAGAAGACAATAGCTGAGAAGTTAGACAGAAGTACAGAACCCATCAAAAGTAAACCAGATAAAAGAAAGGGGATGAATTGAACTTGCACTGATCTCACGGTCTTCCCCATCTTTATTAAAGTACATGGCAGACGGACCCTTCATGTCATAAACATTCCCATCTTCATCAACCTTAGCACTGCCAAGCATCAATAGACATTGATCCCACTCTTTCAGCTCTTCCTAATCACAAATTCAAGTAGCAAAGTTGATAATCACCAAGAGGAACCAAGCAAATGAAGCACTTAATTAAGAGTTTCTGAAATTGCTACTCACGAGGCATTTGGCAGCGAGGTAGCGGAATCGGAGGTCACGGAGGACGATCTTGGAGGCGTTGAGAAGATGGAAGGCGCGTCGGAAATGGCGGCCAAGGAAGAGGGCTTGGGCTTGCATATAAATGTCAGCAGGATCATTAGTGAAAGCAGCGACCTTGTCAGCAAAGAAAATGGCGGAAGAGTACAAGTGCTTGCTGAGGCAGTGGCGCACCAATCCCCGAAGCTTCTCAAGTTGCCGTTCCCTCATCTCGACGACGACGACGACGGAGGCCTGAGCAGAAGGGTGAAGCAAGTTTCTGGCTTTTGGGTGAGAAAGGGGTTTTTCTTCTTCTTCCCCAAATTCGGCGCCGGGGGATTGGAAAAAGAAATCAGGAAGACAAATGAGCGGGAACTGATAAGTTGGGCTTTCAATGGCCCACCCTATATTTCGCGGACTTCTTTCCTATGCGCAGCCCACTAAACCAAACAGTCGGAAGGGAAAGCTGCAGAAGTCTCCAAAACCCTCTCTGTGGTGGCAGCGGGTAATCTGCGTTCATCTTCTTCCGATCCCCGACTGAGAAATTGGAAGAGAGACTTACAGCACAAGATTGTCGTTTGAAAATGGCTGCTAATGGAGCTGTTAATGTGGAAACGAAGCGGAAAATAGCATCAGCTTTATGCAAGTACTTTTCTGTATCGCCGGTAAGGTCCTCTTGACTTTGGCTGCTTACCCTTTTCAGTAACTCCTTGAGCAATTTTGTTATTCTGCGATGGATGTTTTGCTGCTTGCTGGTGTTTCTGGCTAAGCTGAGAACTTGTTGAAAATGGGCAGCAGTCAGAGTCATTGGGTGATGTGGGGAACTCTGATGTTAAGAGCTTGTACTCCAACATCCTGAAGTCATCAGGAAAATCCACTCCATTGAATGGACAAGATGAGGTAAGCTCTTGGCTCGCTATCGAGGTATAACTAATATGCAGTAGGCTTTGATTGCTGTTGCTGTCCCTAGAGCTTTGTTTCTATTGTTCTAAGAAAAGGTGAATGCTTGGTGTTTAGGTGATGAAATGGATAGGGTTTGCAGAGAGTTTTCCTCAAGACTCTAAGGCGTGTTGTCAAGCTCTCAGCGGACTAAACGATGATTTGCTTGTAAAGGCTGTACTTTTGGGGAATGGGCTCAGGCCATCGGAAGCTGATGTTATTGTATTCTCGGCCATACATTCTTTTGTGGTGTGTTTTTCTGCCCCTCGATGCTGTAAATACTGGCACATGTCTGCCTTAGCCCCTCATAGGATAATTTTATGCTTTCTTAATGCCGTGAATGTTTCTGTTGTGTTTAGATTGGCCTACCGCAGTCCGAAACCGAGAAGTTTGTGCATGTATTCAGATGGATGGATTACATACAGGTGAATTGTTTCATCCCATTGAATTGAAAACTTATTGGCATTTTACCAGCACAAGAGACATTTGTTTATCCTGCATTCTTGTTTCCTGCCACCATTTGAAACCCATCTGAGTACACCAGGTTGCTGATGCATCTTGGGAGGGTACAGTTGCAGTTTTTTTTAGTTCATTGATAATTTTTTGCAGAGCTGCTTCATGTTCACTGAATCTCAAATAATTTTCTCATATGCTCTTAGATTTGCAGTCAATGTTCCGTTCATGATGCACAGGAGGTCTGATTTGTTTTTCTATTTAAAACTTCGTAACATAGAAGTACTTGTGTAGAATCAGTGTGAACCTCTTCTATATAGGTCTTAAGCATGAAAAATAGCCGTTTCTCGGTGATAATCGTACATTGCATTCTCTACTGACTGTATTACGTGGTCATGTTGCATTTAAAGTCTTACTCCTGTGGGCCCTTTTGAACTTGTGTTTCTGGTTCCTGAATTGAGTTGGTTTCTTTCACTGTTCTTCCAGCACAGGGTAGATTTTGGGGAACTGTTTGAGAAAATACCATTGGCGAAGGATGCATTTGTCCCACAGGTGACCTCAACATGCCTATTACAATTGCGCTTTTCCTAGCAAATTAGATTTATTCAGCCGTTGATAAATAACTAGATGTAGTTTCCCAGATGTTAATTTTTTACATACATTAGTTAAGGACCTAATGGAACTCCGAATCTTGATGTTTTGAAAATGAGGCTTCTGATTTGTGCTTGAACTAGCATCTCATTGCTAAGTAGATGAAATCATTTGCCAATTGTGACTCTGGATTCTGCTTGCTTACCTGTTCTCCTTGGCTCGTTTATTTGATTTGTGGCTCAATTAAGGTTTCTGAGTTGCTTATGTTTGGTGCTTATGGTGCTTAATTGCAGGTGCGAGACACCCCCAGTGTAGGGAAATTAGAAGCGGATCCAAATGCTAAGAAGACTGGACAAAACACAAAGAAGGCAGAGAAGGTGGAAGCTGACCTAAGTGCGAGCAAAATTGAACCTGAGGTATCCTTTCTTATATTGTTTCGAGCAAAAAAATCCATATTTGCATCTTCTGTAGGATTAGAGAGTGAAAGCGGCAAAGGTATGTTTAGTATACACAAAAATTGACCTATGCATCCATGCTTATATGGGTTATCTTACTAGGAAAACAGGATTTCAGAATCTGTGACAAGGGAACAGTAGTTTGAACTCACCCAACTTCTGGGATAATCTTGTGCATGCCTAATTTAAAGACTCGCAAGATAATCTAAAATTCGTTTGTATTTGTGTACTGCTAACATGGAGCTGCTTGGGGTGAATAATCAACTTCTCAGATCATTACCAGACAATCTGGTACAGAACAAAAGCACGAGAGAGACAGCTGGTGCTAAGACTGTTACTAGTTGGTTATGCTATATTTGTATAAGCTACACTCCGATCACAAGGAGTCTGGCTCGCTTGTTTCTTTATGCCTGACCTGCCCTTAGAAATCATAGAAGTTTAGTGTTGCTGGGTTGGATGAAGAATATAGTACAATATTTTGATATTTAGGAAGGGCATGAGTGTTTCTTTTATTTTAATAGCAAGTCATGATGCTATTAAAACATTGCAAGCATAAGAGCGACCTTTGTGAAGTAAAGTCTGAACCATAGGTATCCGGGGAAAAAACTTCGGAAATGCCTGCTAAATTGTGAAGCAAATTCTATCAAGCTAGTTCCTTTTGTATTTGTTAATATTTTATGATGGTTAATTGTGCACAGATGTGCACTTGGGTAATTATTGGTATTTGGTACACTTTCTTATCTTCATGACATCCTTTTGGTCTTCCATCAGAACTCAAAGAAAAAAGTTCAAGCAAAGAAGGAATCTAATGAGGAGAAGAAGAAACCCACGGAGGACAAGAAGAAACCAGCCACTACAGAAGTTGTAGAGAAAGATAAAGAATTGAGTGTTAGTTTGCTTAATATACAGGTTGGCCTTATCCGCAAAGCATGGAAGCATCCATCAGCTGATAGGTATAATGACTAATGTTTTTCGAGTAGCATGTGACAAGTTTCTAACTTTCAACTATTTTTAAGAATGAATTATGATCTGGTGGTGCAGAAATGTATCTATTGTGACATTTTTCGTTCTTGTGCATAATTCAGTTTGTTGGTTGAGGAAATTGATGTTGGGGAAGCCAAAGTGAGGCAGGTGGTTAGTGGTTTGGCAAAGTATTATAGTCCAGAACAGTTAACGGTAAGATCCTCCATATATGTGACGAACAGTTTATGACTATTTTCTCTTTGTTCATGTTTTCTGATGGTTGCTTTGGTCTGTCCTTTCCTTTCTTACTTTTTGGTGGCTAAAGAATCGGCGTGTTGTGCTGATTGCAAATGTAAAGCCAGGAAAGCTCCGTGATGTGATGTCAGAAGGACTGGTAAACTCTAATTGTCCTTTTTAGTCATGTGATCATCTTTACTACCTTTTGTATGGTTTCCGAGTTCATTCAGCGTTTCAAATCCATTTAATAAGCTTCAGGGGCATGATTGTGTGTTTAGGAGCCTTTTGCACGTGTTCTTCCTTTTCGAGTCGATGTTTTTGCTGTTTTTGGTTCCTCTTCGAACTCTAGATACTCCATTGTTTATGTTGTTAGCATGGTCAAACTATCAAATCATTACTGTTTTTGTGGTAAAAAAGTAAATATCTGGTCATTTTCCTATAAATAGGGTATAACAATTTTCCACCTTTCCCAAATGTCTTCTACCAATAAAAAAAAGTGCCAATCGTGCTTTCTGATCGGCCCTGATGCTCCAAATCCAAACCCTAGAACTTAGAAGGTCTTCTTTGGCACAATATCTTATTCTTATAATTTTTCTGTTACATGCCGTCCTGCTTTGCCTGTATTCAGCATAACTTTCTTTCATATTCTTCTCCGTATTGGCTGCATCGTCAAAGACTACAATCTTTACTACAAGTAGGATTGTTCATTGCCATCTTCACTTATCAAAGACTGAAGGAATGAAATTGACATCGAACACATATCTTTGAACCCAAACTTCTCAGGTTTTATGTGCTTCAAGTGAAGACCACACTGCTGTGGAACCTCTACTGCCTCCTGAAGGTGCCAAAATTGGAGAACGTGTATCATTCTCAGGGTGAGCATCTTGATGCCATAGTCATGCCCCTACAACTCATTTACCCGACTTGAATTGTACAAATGACTATGCTTGAAAAGTGGACTAAGTTCGGATAGTTATGCATGAAGTTTGGGAAGCTGGATGCTACCTCCAATTTATTTCCAAAAGAACATTATTGTGTTCCCTTGTGATAAGCCTCCGTTTGTGATTTCATTTTAGGATCGAAGGTAAGCCAGAAGATGTGCTCAACCCGAAAAAGAAGCAGTTGGAGAAAATAACACCAGTAAGTGCAATGATATGATGGTATTCTTGTGATGGGTCTTATATTCTTCTGAATGATGTCACTGTAAGATGCTAGCTCTTCGTACTTTAGGGATAGAGATCTCATAACAGAGTGAATGAGTCTTAAACTTTTATAAAAAGCCTCGTGTAAGACGCAATATCTCTGATATGATGATGTGTGGCTTTGATGGAATGCAGAATCTTTTTACTGATGACAAGGGCGTGGCAACATTCAAGGGCATACCTTTCATGACTTCTGGTGGGCCTTGCACATCATCCATCTCAAAGGGAACCATCAAATGATCGAACTGAATCACAGATGGATGAATGAGTGGTAATATACAATGATCCTTGCTGCTTAAAGGTGGCTTGCGGATGTACGAACTATGAACCGTAAATGTAAAGTATTTGAGGACTGAGGTGACAATGCTGTGGTTTAGACAGTGCTTGTGTTTAAGAAGTTAAAAGGAGTTTTTATTTTTTGGCCGAGTATGAATGGTTGAATGTTGTGTGCCAACGAAATGGGTGAAGTTGAATGATTATGGTGGTGGATGGAAATGGGAGCCACATGACATAACGTATGCCATCAGGGATTGCTGGTAGACTGGGTTGACAAGCATCTGCCAATTTGGAAGCACTTTCCTTGTAAACTTTTAACATTGTCTTCGAAAGTAAGTTGGATAAAGGTTATCTTATTCTCTGTTTTACGTTAGTTCATGATGGAGCTGAGGCACAATGTTCCATAAGAGATTTTTCAACTGAGGATCATAAGCAGCAGCAGTTACTGAAGATCATAGAAAGCTTTTATGTGCTGTGATGATAAGTGACTGCTTCAAAAATTGTTGGGCCACCGTAGAATATGCTGAGAATTGGTTCATGATCGTTCAAAAACTTCAAATCTGACAAATTTTATCCTCTCATTCATGAAGATGGGCGCCAAACCAGAGCAACAATTACTGGCCTTTCAAGCAAAGGCAGACAGAGAAAGGGATAGTAGAAGGTTTGAAATGATTGGAAAACATACTAAGATGATAGATGCACACACACGCCGTCAACTGGTCATGGACTTCTACCCTATACTCTTATGGACATAGAGCGTGCTGGAGCCTCTTGATCAGGGCTCATCGTCGTCCCAATCGTGTATACAACCTCGACTCGCGTCGACGCACGCCAGTAATCTCCCACCTCCATCAAGTATTTGGCAACACTCCTTGCTTCCAACTCAGGCAGAGCCGTAACGTGGACTCTTCGAAGCTGCCTGGCGTTGGCCAGCACAAACCTCACCAGCTCCATTTCCGCCTGCAATTCCCCTAGGCTGTTCTGAATCTTGAACACCTCAAGACACTGCAGGAGGCAACTGAGATTATTAAAAAAATTTCATATTTGTCACTAAACTTATTTTATTGCATTAGTAATCACTCAAATTAGTTACACAGTACTTTTTTGGTCACTTTCTGTTACGTCCGCCAGACTCCATTAAAAAAGTATGTAAAGTGATGATCTGGCTAATGAAAACACCCAATCAACCTAATTTAACTCTGAAAAGGGAAGACCCGAACGACCACATCATTCTGACCTGCCATATCAGCCTGCCAAACCCAACCCGAGAACCAACCCTAAACCTTGACCCGACACGTGGATCGGGTCCCACACCACCCCCATCCCGCCGGGGTAAATTGGAACGAGAAGGAATCGCCCACTTATTGTTTCATAATGGGTTATAGGTATAATATGCCCCTCTACTATGACGTTCTATCAAACATGCCCCTCTACTATCTTTTCATCAAACATGCCCCTGTATTTTGAAAAAATTATCAAACATATCATTCTGTTAAAATTTTGACTGAAAAAATCATCAATCATGGTTGAACCGATATTTAGACGACCCGACATCGGCAAATGGGAGGAAAATGATAGTTTTGTCCCTCGTTTTATTCCTCTAAGTCTCTTCAAAGTGAAATTATTTGAGTTATTTGGCTATGCAAAAGAACAAATATAAATTCTAAAGGGAAATTATTAGGGATATTTTAGACATTTGTGTCGCCCAAACCAAAGTTCGGCCTTGGTTAATGGTTTTTGGATGAAAAATTTAACAAAATGGCATGCTTGATCATTTTTTACAAAGTACAGGGGCATGTTTGATGTAAAAAATAGTAGAGGGGCATGTTTGATAAAACGTCATAGTAGAAGGGTATATTATATACCTATAACCAGTGTTATTAAAGCCGAGCCGAGCCGCTCGGCCCGACCGGTAAAACCGTCACCCGGTCACAAAACCGGTTCGGAACAGTCTAAAAGCCATTCCGGTTTTATGTAGCGGTTGAAGAGCGGCCGAGGCGGTTAACCGTTCGAGCCGATTGAGCCGCTCGTCCGGTTTTTGCCACTCAGCCACTAAATTTAATTAAAAAAAAAAGAAAATTAAAATAAACTAAAAACGTCGGCCTCTTAAACTGAATCCTTATTTCCATTTCACAATTTCGAAGGAAAGAGATGGGCTTTGATTAAGAAATGTCCACTATTTATACTGATAACGTTTATTATGTACCGGTTCTTTAACGATTTTTAAACGGTCTAATACCGGTTGAACCACTAAAGTGCTAGCCGTTCGCATTATCGGGTCATGCTCCGGTTTGGTTCTGACAACAATGCCTATAACCCTTTCATAAGCAATCGTAAGATTACATTAGTAAAGTGTAGAACGAGTAGTGAGAATTTTATGTGCTAAAAAATGTCCCTTCTCCTCATCGTGAACATCACATTAAATATGTTGTCAATCCCCAACCTCATCCACCTGATCGACAACATCACATTAATGACAAACCAAAATTTTAATAAATTAGCTGCATTAAACTCCACTCAACTCGAACCCGAGAGTTGACCCGAACCCGGTCGAGCTAGTGGGTTAAGGGTTAAATGGTCACCCGTTTTAGCCCTTTTCAGCCCGGAAATATGAAAAGAGTCATTATATTGTACTTATCCTGATAAATTATATCAAATCTCATTTAACATATGAGTAATAACATATAACATTACACCAAAGTAACATATCGTACTTAGATCCAAGTATCCAGCATATAGCAAAAATTCACACACACTTATATAACATCAATATTCAAATGTTTGACTAAGGATTCCAAAGATTGAGTTAGGCGAAAAGAAAAATCGAAAAATAGGCGCATTTCACAAACAAACAAAAATGACACAATTTGACCTCCAACCCGATACCTTGTAGCGGTTGACCCAACGGTTGCGTGCGGCCCGTTTTTCTCGTCGGGTCAAAGTGGGTCGACCCGCGGGTTGACAACGTTGGCCAAATACAAATCTCAATCCGATTTGGCTTATTAGATGCCCTAATCAAAACGTTTTTCTCATCCACACTATCCCACGTGGAATTGGATTAGGTGCTAACCCTTATAGGGGTTAGCACCGTGATAACTAGCAAAAAACGCTACTAAAAATAACGAAATCACTACGGATTATTATAAAATTAATACAACATCTAAGCTAAATCTCTACTAATTCAAACTAATAGTAGTTTTTCTCTTGATTAGGACGGTGCTAACTATTGTATAATTAGCACCGTAGCCGTTCCCATCCCACCTACAAAAACGAATAAATAGACCCGACCAACCTATCTGCCTTTGCACTCTCCATTACTTCAATGAATCTAACTAACTCCCTCGCCATATCTTTCCATTACTCTTTTCCATTTTCTTTCTCAAGCTCTCTTCTCTCTCACTCGCTCTCCCCGAGGACAAACTCCACGACAAGACCACCACAAAGCAATTAAAACCCCCCAACTCCGTCTCTCTTCCCGGCAACCGCCGAAGCTTCTTCTTCTCCTCCCCTCCGCCGCCTCCGGCCACTGCTTCACAATGCAACATTAGCACTTGCTGCTCCCTCTTATCCAAGTTCTTTCTCTCTCCCCTCTTCAACTTCCACCTACTGCATTGTCAACCATTTTCACAACCCGCCGCAGAATCTCCTCTGTTTTCTTCAACCCTCTCTTTCTCTTAGCTCATTTCAGTCATTGATGAACTCAGCTGCTTTATTCTTTTCTTCTTGTCCTCACCCTCCTCGCCTTTTGTCAACCTTCTGGTAGTCCACCTACATAGCCGTCGTTCACATGAGACTAGCCGTTTGATAAACAGATACACAACAACAAAATACAGGGCCAAACCCTTCTCCTCGTCATTTCCCCTTTCTATCGAGCAGAAAGATTCTCCCTTTTCCACATTCCCATTCCAGTTTCCACGGTTACCTAGTAATACCTACCCAGTTGGAAACTTCTGGCGGGATAATTGAAACAAAGACCCAATCTTTTTTCTCTCAAATGGTTTAATTTCTCCACCACAATGCTGAAGATGGAAAGGCCTCTGTTTCTGCTGCTGCTTCTTCTCGCCTTGGTTACAGGCTGCTGCTTAGGATCTCTGACCCCGTCCCTCAACGACGACGTACTGGGTCTGATTGTGTTCAAATCCGACCTTCAAGACCCTAAAGGAAAGCTCGCGTCTTGGAACCAAGACGACTACAGCCCCTGCGGCTGGGTGGGAGTGAAATGTAGCCCTAGATCTAACCGGGTCACCGAGCTCTCCCTCGATGGGTTTTCTCTCTCGGGTCGGATCGGGCGGGGCCTCTTGCAGCTCCAATTCCTCCGTAAGTTAACCCTCTCGAGAAACAACCTCACCGGTTCTTTCACCCCTCAACTCCTCGCCCGCCTCCAGAATCTCACTACCCTTGATTTGAGCGGGAATGCACTCTCCGGCGCCATTCCCGACGAGTTTTTCGCCCAATGTGGGTCTCTACGAGCAATTTCTTTGGCTGGCAACAAATTCTCCGGCAAGATTCCGGCGTCTTTGAGCTCATGTGGTACTCTGGTTTCTGTAAACTTCGGCTCCAATCGGCTCTCTGGGTCCCTGCCATCTGGCATTTGGGGCTTGAAGGGGCTATGGTCGCTTGATTTGTCTGATAATTTGCTCGAGGGTGGAATTCCTCCAGGGATTGAGGCTCTCAACAGCTTGCGTGCTGTGAATTTGAGCAAGAATCAGTTTACTGGGGAAATTCCCGGCGGGATTGGGAAATGTTTGCTGCTGAGGACCGTCGATTTCAGCCGGAATTCGCTATCTGGGTATCTTCCAGCTACAATGCGGAATTTGAGACTCTGTTATTCTCTCAGCGTCTCCAGTAACTCATTGACAGGTGAAGTTCCGAGCTGGATTGGGGAACTGAAACGTATGGAAAGTTTGGATCTTTCTGGGAACAAGCTCTCTGGTCACGTCCCTGCTTCGGTTGGGAATCTTGAGATGCTTAAAGTTTTGAACTTTTCTGGGAATCGTCTGACTGGCGGCCTCCCAGATTCCATGTCCAGCTGTGGAAGTCTCTCGACCTTGGATTTTAGCCATAACTCGTTGAGTGGCGGCCTGCCAGCGTGGATTTTTGGATCTGGGTCGGAGAAGCTTTTGCACTCGTCGGCGGCGCCGAAGTTGGAGTATTTGGATTTGTCTGATAACGAGTTCTCTGGTGACATTGCTTCCACCATTGATTATCAAAGCAAACTCCTGGTATTGAATTTGTCTGGGAACTCGCTTACAGGTCCTATACCAGGCGCCATTGGAGAGTTAAAGGAACTGGAAGTTCTAGACTTGTGCACAAATAAGTTAAACGGGAGCATCCCTATGAAGATTGGTGGAGCTACTTCTCTGAACGTTCTCAAACTGGATTCTAACTTCCTCTCTGGCCAGATTCCGAGTTCAATTGGAGACTGCTCTTCACTAACTACACTGTAAGCATTTTCTGCCCTTCGCTCTATAACTTGCTTTTTTCTTCATTGAACAAGTTGTTGAACTTTGAGATTCAGAATTTACCTTTTGGTTCTGCTTAAAACTTGACTTACTGAAGGTGCTGAAAGAAAGATCATTTCCTTATATCTCTATATGCAGAATCCTTTCTGGGAACATATTGAGTGGACCAATACCTTCCTCATTAGGTAAACTCACCAGCATACAGAATGTAGACTTATCTCTCAACACTCTCTCAGGCACCTTACCAAAGCAGCTAGCCAACCTTCCTAACATCGCAACATTCAACATTTCCCACAATCGCTTGCAAGGCGAACTACCTTCCGGCGGTTTCTTCAACACCATCTCACCATCTTCCGTGTCTGGCAATCCATCTCTCTGTGGAGCGGTTGTCAACAGGACTTGCCATACAGTCCTTCCAAAACCCATTGTCCTCAATCCTAATGCCACATCAGATGAGTCAGCCGATGGTTCAATCCCACAGAATAGTCTCGGTCACAAGAGAATCATACTCAGCATATCAGCCCTCGTTGCCATTGGTGCAGCAGCTCTAATCGTTGTAGGTGTGATTGCCGTCACTGTGCTCAATCTTAGAGTCCAAGCAACTTCTCGATCCGCAACTGCATTGACAGCATTCTCCGCGGGTGGTGATGATGACTCCTTTAGCCGTTCGCATACCACAGACCCCAAATCTGGCAAGCTGGTCATGTTTTCGGGCGATCCTGACTTCTTCAGTGCTGGAACACATGCTCTTCTCAACAAGGACTGTGAACTTGGGCGTGGAGGGTTTGGAGCAGTGTACCGTACTGTTCTTAGAGATGGGAACCCAGTTGCAATCAAGAAGCTCACTGTGTCAAGCCTTGTCAAGTCACAGGATGATTTCGAGAGGGAAGTCAAGAAGCTGGGGAAGATTCACCACGAGAATCTTGTACAGCTCGATGGTTACTACTGGACGACATCACTGCAGCTGCTCATCTACGAGTTTGTCTCTGGAGGTAGTCTGTACAAGCATCTCCACGATGGCGGGAATCTTCTTTCATGGAATGAGAGGCTCAATCTGATTCTAGGCACCGCAAAAGGGCTAGCACATCTGCACCAATCGAGCATCATCCACTACAACATCAAATCCAGCAATGTACTCATCGATGGCGACACGGGCGAGCCTAAAGTGGGAGACTTTGGCCTGGCGAGGTTGCTGCCAATGCTAGACCGCTACGTGCTGAGCAGCAAGATCCAGAGCGCGCTTGGGTACATGGCGCCTGAGTTTGCTTGCAGGACGGTGAAGATCACCGAGAAGTGCGACGTGTATGGATTTGGAGTTCTGATTCTGGAGATTGTTACTGGGAGGAAGCCCGTGGAGTACATGGAAGACGACGTCGTGGTGCTATGTGACATGGTGAGAGGAGCATTGGAGGAAGGAAAGGTGGAAGAGTGCATCGACGAGAAGCTGCAAGGTGCCTTTCCAGCAGATGAGGCGATTCCAGTTATGAAATTGGGGTTGATATGCACTTCACAAGTACCATCAAACCGGCCAGACATGGGGGAAGTGGTTAACATATTGGAGCTGATAAGATGTCCATCAGAAGGCCAACAAGATTGATTCAGGTTTGAGATGAGATGAGTGGTGATTGATGATGACATTAGGAATAGCTAGGGAGTAATTAGATTATGATTTATGATGAGTTGTTGTCCGGGGAAGACGAATCCGGTTTTGTTACTGCATTGATCCAGGAGTGGGGTGAATTTGGGTAGAGGGTTAATGTAATGCTTAATTCTGGTGTGGTGAAGGGCTCCTGTTAGATTGATAGCCTCGCCGGATTCTTCTTCACCGGGTCCCAACATTTTCTGGGACCCTTTTGTTGCAGCAAGTAAGTAACCAGCAGAAGTGATTGCTGATACGACTCCATTGTTATTTTGTGAAGGATCATGCTTCATTGTTTTTGTTGGTTGGTTGGTTTGTTGGTGAATGAAATGAAATGGTTGTTGTTAATATAACTTTAAAGGAGGAAGTTGATTATAATTTGTTTGGTAGCTTGTTATACATTGCAATTATTCTCCTTAAAGTGATTATGCATTCAATCTTCAAACAGACATTACATGTGATATCCTGATAGGGGAGGAAAGCAAGAAGCACTTTCTATTCTGATTGGGACACTTACTGATTAGTTTAATGTGTGTCCATTGTGATAATACTAGATTATGGGGGACTTTTTTGTTTGATTTGAAGGACAAAGTTCTTATTAGGAGCTGCTAATCAGCTGTCAGAAAGTCAAAAGGTTGGTGTTAAAAGTAAAATACTGAAATCCTGCTGGAGGGAGGGACTCCCAAAGGGTCTTTTTATATATATAAAAAATATATATATATATATATATATATATTAAGGGAGAATCACCATAATTTTGACAGTTGAATAATGGGTATTTTGCAATGTTGTCAGAATCGAACCATCGTATGAACCGGTATAGTAAACGGTTCGAACTTTAGTGGTTTAACCGATATTAGACCGTTATAAAACCGTTAATGAACCGGTATCTACTAAACAAGAATATTATACACTACACGTATATTAGCACACTAGATCATGAGTACATCATTCATTAACAAATTTAAAATATAATTACTAAATTAAAAGTACTAACTGCTAAAGTACAAACTTTAATGTTCCAATTTAATTAACCATAACATAGGAAGGAAAAACTATAAAAAAATCCCAAAGATAAAAATAATTAACCATAGCACGAACTTAATGTTCCAATTTAATTAACCATAACATAGGAAGGAAAAACTATAAAAAATAATAATCCAAAAGCTAAAAATAATTAACCATAGCACGTGTGTACTAGATAAGAAAGGTTGAAAATTGGAGGCCACAGCCCACACTCGGCTCAAGATAGGGTGCATAACCATGGGTTATGCATCCATCAATAACCAAATATGTACCCTTCATTTAGAAAATCCAGATCTAAGAATGGAAAATTAAGGACCATTTTTATGTTTCCTAGCTTTCTTAATCGGCTTATATCTTTTTCGTTTTAACTCGGATTTTAATTTTTTTTGCACAGATGGAACGAGTTCATCGTGCTCTACCAAATGAGAATAATTTTCGATATTTTTTTAGAAAAAAAATTATGGCCTCTTGGTACCAACTGCATACCATATGATATCTTCTTCGTTTTTAATTCGTTCTTTGAAAACGTTTGCACAGAAGGGACGAGTTCATCATGATCTAATGGATCTACAAATTTCTGGGTGAGCAAATTACAGGACCAAAAAGTACCACACAATACCATACAATACCACCCCGTACCACCCTGGTACGGGGTGGTATTGTATGGTATCTTCTTCGTTTTTAATTCGTTTTTGAAAACGTTTGCACAGAAGGGACGAGTTCATCATGATCTATTGGATCTACAAATTTCTGGGTGAACAAATCACAGGGCCAAAAAATACCACACAATACCATACAATACCACCCTGGTACGGGGTGGTATTGTATGGTATCTTCTTCGTTTTTAATTCGTTTTTGAAAACGTTTGCACAGAAGGGACGAGTTCATCATGATCTATTGGATCTACAAATTTCTGGGTGAACAAATTACAGGACCAAAAAATACCATACAATACCACCCTGGTACGGGGTGGTATTGTGTGGTATACAATGTTAAAAGTCGTAAATGACAATTAATATACTTCTACTATCATGTATTCAACCATCCTACAGTCTTGGTTTGTTCATACCACCATGGTACGTTTTTCAAACCATAGGCATGCTTTTATTTCAATACTAGTCAATACCATATGGTATAGACTGGTAAAAAATAGCTCAATTTTTTTTGTTCGAAAAATATATTAAAGTGGATATCATTTTGAAGAGCACAATTAATCTGATCCAACTGTGCAAAAAAAATTAAATTTCGACTTAAAATGAGTGAGAAATCGTCCGTCAAAGATTAAAGAGGGGAAAATTAAAGGCTTTTCAGGAGAAAGAGGATGATGATGTCATGCTGATGTGGGCTGGTTACTTATGGTTACTCACCATAAGGTTACTGACCTGATCCGTTCCCCCCACACTCGCCTCTCCCCTCTATCAAACCCTAAGCGGCAGCGCCGCACTCGCCTCTCCCCTCTCTCTATCAATTTCAACTTTTAATTTCTCCTCTCTGTTAATGACGAACAACTCCATTGTTCACCTTCTGCTTCTCTTTCTATTCTTGGGATTCTTCTAATCCTTCGACAGAAACGATCGATCCCCTCCATCCCTCTTTCTGTTTCGTCTTCTTTGAGCTATCGATCTAACTTTCACTTACTCGATCTGACTTCTTCTCACTTTATTTCTGGAAACGACGATGGCTATGTAGGCGGGATTAGCCTTCGCCGTTGATGATGAGTGATGACAGCAACGGAAGACAACTGTTCAATTGAGAACCACAATTGAACGAACCGTAAATCTAGTATTTTCATTTTTTTAAACCAGGCGGTCAGAAGGCAAAAACCGGTTGAACGGTTCGAGCGGCTTGAATGGTTAACCATTTTGGCCGCTCGCCGACCGGCCTTTCTGACTGCTGCGGTTCTGGAGACAATTCGACTCGGGCTGGTGATCGGGTGTCAGCTTTACCGATCCGACCGACCGGCTCGGGTCGGCTTTAATAACATTGGTATTTTGCATAGAAAGGAGAAACCACAGCCAAGGAGGATGGGAAAAGATAAAAGCTAGAAAACAAAATCAGTCAGGAGAAGAAGAAGATTGAAGAGTGTGAAGATTTTGAAACACGAGCAAAATGGGGCATCCTCACATCTAACATAAATAATAATTATCTTGATTAGAGCAAGCATTCAGTGATGTCTCTAGAAATAAATTTCTAGTAGGTACATTGATGGACTGAGGTTATAAAATAAAAAATGCTTGATTTAACGATATTAATTTTCATATTAACATACTAAGATGACTGTTTTGTTTTACTGATTCGTAATCGTAGGATTTTTTTTCATCGTATGAAGTTAAGATTTAAAGCGATAATGTGTTAAGTTTTCAAATCACAATATGTTAATAGAATTATGTTTTGATTTGAAAGAAGAGATTAATAATTAAATATCTAACCACCATTTGAATGTTATTTAGTATATTATTCTCTCAAATTACAGAATCGTAGTTAGCAAAAAAGAGTACAAATAAGTTATGTACGAGTATTTTACTTTATCTCTAAACTATTGGTACGTCAAATAATATGTTAATATTCATAAAGTATATTGAATTAATTATTTAAAAATATTTAAATGCAAAATGTTATAATGATTAGCCATGAAATTAACAGAAAAAACTTGACAATAGTAAAGAAATAAAAAAATTTAACACATAAAATACATACTTTCGTATATACAACTTATGTCATATATTTTTTATTCTTAAACATGTAGAGGACTAGATTAATTTTTGAGACACAACTTGTTGATCATATCTCATCCATGTGGTTGTTAGCTATCCATTTCCTTACATTTACTGTTTTTTTTTGTTGTACCTTCTCATGTCCGATGCTTCCATGTTTTAATATAGTTAATAAGAAAAATTACGATACTAATAAATCAATTTATTATAACTAGATAGTTATTTAATTGAGCTATATTGAATTGAATTAGATTACATCTATTTTTTATTATAATTTGATTTCGATTGTCAAATTTAGTTTTTATTTATTTATATGTCAGAACAAATATCACTTTGTTTTTTGGATGACTTTGAGACTTTTGTAAAGGATTTATCACTCATTTACTTTATTTAACGGCGATAATTAAAATATGTTAAGTTGAAATGTTGTATATGTAGAAACGAGTAGGGGTGTTCAAATGGTTATCATGGTTATTACCAAACCCAATAAGGCTAAATTTCATCAATAATGGAATACAATATAATAACCAAACCGTCCAAACTAATACAACAACCAAATTAACCAAACTAAAGTTTAATCGGTTTGGTTAATTGGTTAACCAGATTAACCAATATAAAATCACATTATCATTAAGTGAGAAAAAATTCGGTTAATTCATCAATTCACAGTTTATATAATGAATAAAACATAACAATCAACGCTTGGTTATAGTTGACCTTTAACATAAATACATGCAACAAAGACAATTATCTTACGGTTAGTATAGAATTATTCTTTTTTTTTTTTTTTTACAAAAGATAATCTTCATTGATCAGAAAAATAGATAGTTACATCCTGGACAAAAGCCAGGTATTGAAATCAAAAGAACGACTCATGGCCAGGTACAAAGAGAGGGCTTTACGAGCCACCAAATGGGCTACCCTATGACTACGCCGACCTACAAATCGAACACTGAACCTTGACTGACTAGCAAAATGATGAACAACTTCAGCAAGAATAGCCCCCACCCGATTATCCCTGATGTCTGCCTGCTGTATCTTATCAATAATAACCTTAGCATCTCCCTCAAAACATACCTCCATGATACCCCGATCTAGACACCACACAACAGCTTCGCGGAGGGCCATCATCTCCACAACCATAGGGTCCTCAATACCAGGGAATTGAAAGCCCACAGCCATTAGGATTTCCCTAGTTAGGGTCTAGGATTTCCCTAGTTAGGGTCATAATAACCATCCCCCCCCCCCCCCCCCCCCCCCCCCGAATGAGACCCCCTCTTAGTGGCTCCATCCCACATACAAACGAGCCTATCCGGCGCCCCCCCCCAGGGCCAGCGGATGCTGGGAATTGCCCCCAGAGGGAGCACCCTGGTCCCGCGGTAGCCTAACCCATTCCTCATACTGCTAATTATACTGGCGCATCAACGATGGGAAACCAAACTGCTTCCCTTCAAAGATAACCCAATTACGAGAACGCCATATCCGCCAGAGGACTGCAACCACCGCCATGAGGGAGGAAGGCTCTCTCAGCAAAGACATCAGCTGCTTTAGCCACAGAGGGAAAGTGTGCCTTGGCAACCCCTCACCCAGCGCTTCCAACCCC